CACTATTTGTATTGTTTAAATACTACAGGTTTACACTATTTGTATTGTTTAAATATTACAGGTTTACACTATTTGTATTGTTTAAATACTACAGGTTTACACTATTTGTATTGTTTAAATGCATACAAGTTTACACTATTTATATTGTTTAAATACTACAGGTTTACACTATTTGTATTGTTTAAATGCATACAAGTTTACACTATTTATATTGTTTAAATACTACAGGTTTACACTGTTTGAATACTACAGGTTTACACTGTTTGAATACTACAGGTTTACACTATTTGTATTGTTTAAATACTACATGTTTACATTATTTCCATTGTTTCAGTACTACTTGGATTGAATTTGTTGTTACTTGTGTGTTCAGGACTCTGCGTGCCTTCTTCCGTCTTACTGCTGATTGGATTATGTGTGGTGAGTGCCTATTTCATCGTATATTTCATAGTGATTGACATTATTGTCCAAAACTCCACTTATGGTTGCTAGGGCATTCGTTAGTGTAGTCAATGTTCAACTAAATCAGCCATATTGTAAGGCAGCAGATGACTCCAATGTCTTAAATAACCCATACTTTTGTTGTTGCTGTTTGGGGAGGGGAGGAGGAGAACTTGTTTCTATTAAGAAATATCTCCTAATATGATAAAACTGTTTTAGCGTGACAACAATAATCATTGCTATAAAAGGTGAAGGTACCAGTGTTGGCTAAACGTGTGTTACAGCCAATCACAGTTGAGTTTATTGTTACATTCCGTCACGTTTGGTAGATAATTACATACTTTACCTTCACCATCTCAATTGTGTCATATTTATCTCTCTCTCGCTCTTTACTCTTCCTATTTATTCATCTATCATTTCTCACTGACTTTATTCTCTTTCCGCTTTAAATAACATTTTTCAGCTTCTCTGTTTTAATCAAATGTTTTCTTTTATTCTCCCCCTTTCTCCCAATTCTTCATATTTATCTCTCTCTCTCTCTTTACTCTTCATATTTATTCACCCATTGTTTTCTCACTGACTTTATTCTCTCTTGCTTTCCGCTTTAAATAACATTTTTCAGCTTCTCTGTTTTAATCAAATGTTTTCTTTCATTCTTCTCATATCCCCCTTTCATATCCCTTTCTTCTCATATCCCCCTTTCTCCCAGTTCTTCATATTTATTCACCCATTGTTTTCTCCCTTATTCTAATTTTAGTTTTTAAAAGTCCTATACGGTAATTTTTTTTATTTCCTACTCTACAAGTCGGTAGTTAATCCCTTCCTTGACAGATGTAGGTGAGTTAATGTATGAACTCGCACACACAGATATAATAGCGCACGAGAGAATGTTCGCAAAATAACCCGGTGAAGATTGTTTGTGTCCAATTAAATAGGTTTCTAGAACTGAATGGAATGAGGTAGTTTGTTTCTTGCTACATGTAGCTTGCTTTCAAATATAAAGATTTATTTGTAACAATAACGTCTTGCAAAACCCTGCTGCAGCTTTAAAAACGGAATTGTTTCTAATAAGCACTAGTGTTTCCTGGTAGTTTCGAAACGTATGCAGTTTCGTGTTATTGGACGTCACGGATTTGTTTTTTTAAATAAATCCCACGTGCATGACACCTGTACGTGCTGCTAGTCAGGGTTACTAAGATACATGTTGCTATGGTATGTCAATACAGAATAGGTTCGTAGCTGTTTGTCTGGGTTACTAAGATACACATTGTTATAATACGTTAATACAGAATAGGTTCGTAGTTGTTTGTCTGGGTTACTAAGATACACGTTGTTGTAATATGTCAATACAGAATAGGGTCGTAGCTGCTTTTCTGGGTTACTAAGATACACATTGTTATAATATGTCAATACAGAATAGGGTCGTAGCTGCTTTTCTGGGTTACTAAGATACACATTGTTATAATATATTAATACAGAATAGGTTCGTAGCTGCTTGTCTGGGTTACTAAGATACACGTTGCTATGATATGTCAATACAGAATAGGTTCCTAGCTGCTTGTCTGGGTTACTAAGATACACGTTGCTATGATATGTCAATACAGAATAGGTTCCTAGCTGCTTGTCTGGGTTACTAAGATACACGTTGCTATGATATGTCAATACAGAATAGGTTCGTAGCTGCTTGTCTGGGTTACTAAGTTACACATTGTTATAATATGTTAATACAGAATAGGTTCGTAGCTGCTTGTCTGGGTTACTAAGATACAGGTTGCTATGATATGTTAATACATAATGTTTGCCAGTTTGTCTACTGATTCTGATATTTTTGTTTTTCAGGATAGTAAAATGCTTCTGTTACCATGGATACTGTGTACAGCAGCGACAACACTAATTCACATCACTTTATCTCTGTACCTCTTCTGTGACGCTGTGAGTAGACCCATGTTTACATTCTGGAATGTTCTGTGAGTAGACCCGCGATAACATTCTGGAATGTTCTGTGAGTTGACCCGTGTTAACATTCTGGAATGTTCTGTGAGTAGACCCGTGTTAACATTCTGGAATGTTCTGTGAATAGGCCCGTGTTAACATTCTGGAATGTTCTGTGAGTAGACCCGCGATAACATTCTGGAATGTTCTGTGAGTAGACCCGCGATAACATTCTGGAATGTTCTGTGAGTAGACCCGTGTTAACATTCTGGATAGTTCTGTGAGTAGACCCGCGTTAACATTCTGGAATGTTCTGTGAGTAGACCCGCGTTAACATTCTGGAATGTTCTGTGAGTAGACCCGCGATAAAATTCTGGAATGTTCTGTGAGTAGACCCGTGTTAACATTCTGGAATGTTCTGTGAGTAGACCCGTGTTAACATTCTGGAATGTTCTGTTAACTTTTTGTGACATTCTCTAGCTAGACCCATTTAAGTAGACCTATGTTAACGTTTGTTTTATTCTGTAAATAGACCCGTGTTAACATTCTGGAATGTTCTGTTAACTTTTTGTGACATTCTCTAGCTAGACCCATTTAAGTAGACCTATGTTAACGTTTGTTTT